ACCCTCTAGTTCGTTTAGCTAAGCAAATCAGTCCGTCGCCAGTTCGGTCAGAAGGTTCATAGTCATTTTACAGGTTTAGTTTCAATAATGATCATATATATGGCTTTGTACTTACCTAAATGGGTTATTATGAAGACATTTCACTACACTACTCTGCCGGTAAGGTAAGTCACAATCCGTATATACATTATAGTGGACGTAGGCCCTTTGAAAACTTTTGGATTGTTTGAACAAAATCCTATGAACAAAGTGATCTTGCCCCAGTCATGCGAGGTCACACTATAATGATACGTTAATTGTATTAGTATGATCCTTATTTTATCATATTGCTAGATTAAAATATAAATCTCCAAGTTCGAGGAGTCACTTGCCAAGGAATCGGAGGCAAAGAGACAGAGAAGGAAAGCCGGTAGCCAGGAAGACAGACCAGAATCGACTTCGTTTGTGCTCAGTGTGGGATGGACTGCCACTCTCGGATTGGCCTCATCAGTCACACCAGACGCTGCACCAGGATTGACAACCAGAGCGCAACTCCATAGTCTCCCGAGATTGAAGGATGCCTACTACTAGATTAAAATATGGTAGTTACTTACTTGTAGTTTCATCTCTGCACCACTGACAAAAGCCATGGCATTACCATGTAGGATGGAAACTCCATTAGCAGCAGCGTTAGGACACATGTTGTAGCCTTGAGAGCACTGGAATATCCGATAGTTCCATTCACACCCCAGCTCATACACCAGATCAGCATTCTGTATGATATAATAAAGTATTAAATTGCTTTAATTATCAGTAGTAGTAGTATTAATCATTACTGATCTTCAACAAGGTCTTCATCTTCATATGCTCTTTCCAGACTTCACTCATTAATTCATGATGAAAGCTAAATGCATCACCTATAATGGTATGTAGATTACATGCTTTTTTACATACTATTTATTCCATAACAACATAATGTCATTTCTTCGCTCAAAGTTGGGTTATACGTTATGATTAATATCTAGTCTGCTTTCAGTCTAACATCTGCCTCTACATCATATGCTGGAGATCTAACAGCAATACTCTTATATGCTGAAGAAATATTTCATTTGGTAAGGAACTTGGCTTTGAAATTTTTGGAAAAAATAAGGAACTAAGAATATTTATTTGTCACTATTTACCTCTCTCGCTATTTGGGGGGATTATGTGCTCTACGTCCTTTAAAATGGTAGAGTAATCCAATCCTTTAAAGTGAAGATCTTGCTGAAATCAACAACTATAGACCAATATCAATTCTATTTACTTTCCCTCTGTAAGGCAGCATCATATTTTCTAAACATCTGCAGTAATTGTTACATTTTTTTATTTCTTACCTTATGAAAGAGAATATTAAGAATGTCTTGATCAGCCAGTTTTATCTTCTTTTTGTAGTTATCAAAGACCTTCAGATTTGCAGCTGTCCAACCTCTACCAGGAAATTTTTTCATTCTGGTGATATTCATGTGCATGATTCCAGCATTTAGTCCAGTCTTGCCATAGAAAGGTACCTAAGAGCAAAGTACAGTATTACTTGATTACTGAATGGCTATGTATCATTAGATGTATAATGATGTAACTCATTTGTTGTAACAAACATTTTTAGATGTATAAATATTTATGACAGTCTTGGTGTCATAATAAACATTATATATAGTGAAGAAAGAAGTATTAAACCGAATTATATATGACACTGAAAATTACAAACCTTATTTTTTCTGCTACCATAATGGTATAAGCATGGTGCCATGGCAGCTAGTTGAACATCATTAAACTTGTGGAACTCCTGCCATAGCTGTTCTGGTGGCCGTAGGAACACCAAGTCTGTATCAATGTATATAGCAGCATCAAGGCTGGGAAACATATCAGGGAGGAAGAGCCTCTCTGTAGCGCACACACGGAACATAAAGCGCATGTCTTCTCTGTCTGCTGGGTACCACACGTCACGGTATTCAAACACCAGGCGACTTTTGTACTTCTCTGGCCAGGATGAGGTAAGATCTACAAACTGTTTGAAGAGTTTTTCTGAGTCTGCAACCACTAGGAACCTGGCAACAGTAGCAGAAAAATATTAAACACAATAAAATATTCAGCAAATTTATAAATGTAGTACTGTGTGTGCGTGTGTGTGTGTGTGTGTGTGTGTGTGTGTGTGTGTGTGTGTGTGTGTGTGTGTGTGTGTGTGTGTGTATATGTATGTATGTATGTATGTATGTATGTATGTATGTATGTATGTATGTATGTATGTATGTATGTATGTATGTATGCATGTATGAATGTATGTGTGTACATGTTGTACCTAATAGCCAGAACGTCGTACTCGGCCTACTATGCAAGGCCCGATTTGCCTAGTAAGCCAATTTTTCCTGAATTTATATATTTTCGATTTTTTCTTATAAATGATGACGCTATCCATTTCATTATGTATGAGTTAATTTTTTTTAATTTGAGTTGAAACTAACGTAGATATATGACCGAACCTAACCTAACCTATCTTAACCCAACCTAAACTAACATGTCAATAATTTATGTTCTTAATATAATATAATAATAATAATTCAAATAAACCAATTGTAAACGATATTTCGAAAAAACAAGAAAAACACTCGGCCTATTAGGCAAATCGGGCCTTGCATAGTAGGTCCGGAAGTGCATTCTGGCTACTAGGTACGACATATATATATATATATATATATATATATATATATATATATATATATATATATATATATATATATATATATATATATATATATATATATATATATATATATATATATATATATATATATATATATATATATATATATATATATATATATGCGGAAAATCCACAGAGAAATATGAAATGAGGTGAACGTTTCGGCTTGTTAAAGCCTTTGTCAACACCAGACTGACTAAGTCTGGTGTTGACAAAAACGGACTAATGTCCGTTTTTGGACATTATGATTCATAGAGTCACTAGAAAGTTCAAATTTAATGTGTATAGGAAACCTACCAACGTGGGGTCGTATGTTCATTTTTATTCGAATCATCATAGTAAAGTTAAACAGGCAGTATTTTCAGGAATGTTTCTACGAGCTTTGAGGGTTTGCAGCCCTGAGTTTTTTGATGAAGAGATTGCTAAAATATATGAAATTGGGAAGAGTTTACAATATCCTAAGAGGTTTTTGGATTTCTCGTTTGTACAAGCCAAGCGTACGTTTTATAATCACGTCCCTAAGGCGAAACCAAAAATTATTAACTCATTGGTGGTACCTTATGCGAGTGGACTTGAAAAATTGTCTCTGATTTTTAAGAAACTTAATAATATAAATTTGGTGTTCACTAATAGTACGATCAAATCCAATTTAATAAAAAAACTCCCCTGATACAGCAGGTTGCGTGTATTCGATTCCCTGCATTGATTGTGATTCTGTGTACCTTGGACAAACAGGAAAGTCCTTACAATTGCGGTTGTCACAACATGCTTATAGTATTAGAACTGCCCAAACGTCTAATGCATTGTATCTACATACGAGTTTATGCGATCACAATATTAACTGGAATGGGGCAAAAAGCATTACCAATTGTGGGGATTTCGTGGAACGGAATTTGATTGAGTCTGCTCTAATCAGTCAGTGTCCAAATCGTCTTAATGTTAGTACTGGTATGTACAAACTTGATCCATTTTTAAGTTATAATATTGCACAACAGTTTAAGAAACAACTTTGATAGAGAGGCTTACAATGTCTCATTATAATTGTATATTCATATATTGTGTGTTCATGAGGCTTTTCTTTAATCTTTCATCCTTATTCTCTGACCGCTTAATCCTCTTTGACCATTCTAAGCTAAGCTATACCTGTTTTTGGTTAATTCTTTCCCTAGGGATGGGTTGGTCAGGTGTCGGCCTATATATCCTCCCCGTTCTCCCTTCTCCTTAGTCAGTCTGGTGTTGACAAAGGCTTTAAGAAGCCGAAACGTTCACCTCATTTCATATTTCTCTGTGGATTTTCCGCATAAAATGATCAGTGTTTTGTGATCGTCAATTGCATATATATATATATATATATATATATATATATATATATATATATATATATATATATATATATATATATATATATATATATATATATATAATATGGGATCAATTAACAATATGCCACAATCCCTCCCCAGCCCATGGAGGGCTCCCAGCTTCACGTCACAGGTTCTCATTCCCAGCTCCTAATACAAGGACTAGCCTCTTGCTCTAGCCCAGGACTAAACCCCTCGCTCCCTGTGCCACAGTCACAGGGAGCGCCCTACACCTGTAATGAAGATAGGTGTAGGGAGCAGGAGGCCAGATACAAGGTATCATCTGGGAGAGGAAATTCTTCAGGAGTCAGAGAAGGAAAAAGACTTGGGGGTTGATATCACGCCAGACCTGTCTCCTGCAGCACATATCAAGCGGATAACATCAGCGGCATATGCCAGGCTGGCCAACATACGAACGGCATTCAGAAACTTGTGTAAAGAATCATTCAGAACTTTGTATACCACATATGTCAGGCCAATCCTGGAGTATGCAGCCCCAGCATGGAGTCCATATCTAGTCAAGGATAAGACTAAACTGGAAAAGGTTCAAAGGTTTGCCACCAGACTAGTACCCGAGCTGAGAGGTATGAGCTACGAGGAGAGACTACGGGAATTAAACCTCACTTCGCTGGAAGACAGAAGAGTTAGGGGGGGACATGATCACCACATTCAAGATTCTGAAGGGGATTGATAGGGTAGATAAAGACAGTCTATTTAACCCAAGGGGAACACGCACAAGGGGACACAGGTGGAAACTGAGTGCCCAAATGAGCCACAGAGATATTAGAAAGAACTTTTTTAGTGTCAGAGTGGTTGACAAATGGAATGCATTAGGGGGTGATGTGGTGGAGGCTCACTCCATACACAGTTTCAAGTGTAGATATGACAGAGCCCGATAGGCTCAGGAATCTGTACACCTGTTGATTGACGGTTGAGAGGCGGGACCAAAGAGCCAGAGCTCAACCCCCGCAAACACAACTAGGTGAGTACAGTCCAGGACTAAACCCCCTCGCTCCCTGTGCCACAGTCCAGGACTAGACCCTCGCTCCCTGTGCCACAGTCCAGGACTAGACCCTCGCTCCCAGCTCCTCTACCTGAGCACAGATGATGACAGCGCTGCTGCGGACTTGAGCATAACAGCTGCCTGACGTAGTTGGCGTGTAATGGCCGAAGCATCTTTTCCTCCTTGGTTGTCCTTAGGTTTGCCTGAAAGAAAAAATTATGCATACTTAAGAATATATGTTCAGTACAACTATTAACAAGCTTGATCATGCATGTGCATTTACTTTGTATCATTATATTGCATAATAATAATAATTAGAGGTTTTCAATATTTTAATCATTTAATTCTCATATCTCTCTAACTATTTATTCTGCTGAAGAGTTCTAGAGTTCTAGATGACTACTGCAGCGACAAGATATCCTTATCATTTTATTTCCAAGAGGAAGAATTATATTTTTATCCTTAAAAGTCTTAAATGTGGAGCAATTAAAGCACTGATTGACCTCTTTGAACTTGTATGTTATGATGCTGATGGTTAACTTACCTTCACATAATATGATGAAGAAAACAATAGCTCCCGCACCTTTACTGTCGACGCCACCTGTCATAAGTACAGCAATCTAATTGGTATTGTTAAAGTTTAATTGGTATAGTTAACGTTTCAAAGCATACAGTATTATCTTTAACCGGCTGCGTGAGCTTGTACATTTAGTGGGACATTTATTTATTTATTTATATACAAGAAGGTAGGGTGTGATCCGATGTGTGGCCCACTTTTATTAAAGACCTTACCATATATTTAAGCTTCTTTACAGATTTCTTAATCATTCCAGTGATACTGATAACAGTAACGCCTGAGAGGACGATGCAAGGATTTTCCAAATCATTCTTTGCGAGCAACCTGTACTCTCGGATAATACATATCATTTTGACGTCAAAATCCCTAAACGGGCAAAAATGTTATGTGTGTACAGTACTATAAATCATAAGAGGGTCACAAACATTTACGTTGTCTATGCGTGGGTCGCTCGGTTAGGATCGGGAGTTTTAGTACACCATTTTGTGTCCGTCGTGGCAACCAGAGAGGTGATCAACTCCACGACTACACACACACTGACACTTGGGCAACATATGTTGCAATTAAGTAACAACTAAGTGGCTGCACAACACTTACCGCTGCTCGGTATTATACGGAGGGAAGTCTTTATAAACTCGTCTGCATCCCCATTCGCAGCAAAGTTGAGTCTGACGAAGATGAATATGATGACCACATAGAACAGCATCACATATTTCACCACGCGTCCCTTCATGCGTTTCTGCAATTATACGTTACCAAGGGCTTAAATATTATACGTTATATTATACGTTAAATATAACAACACAAAATGGAACACAAAGCAAGGAGATAAGTCTTACTCAATTGTAACTTAATAAATTTAGTCCCCGTGGTGTAGTGGTAAGACACTCGCCTGGCGTTCCGCGAGCGCTATGTCATGGGTTCGTATCCTGGCCGGGGAGGATTTACTTGGCGCAAATCCTTAACTGTAGCCTCTGTTTAACGCAACAGTAAAATGTGTACTTGGTTGTAACAACGATTCTTCGCGGCGGGGATCGTATTCCAGGGACCTGCCCGAAACGCTACGCGTACTAGTGGCTGTACAAGAATGTAAAAACTCTTGTATATATCTCAAAAAAAAAAAATGAAAAGCATCAATGCAGGATAGGAGTCATCTCTAAACAATCATGTAAGAATGTACGAGGTACTCTTCTGTGCTAAGATAATAACAAAATAGCCAAAATAGGCAATGAAAATAAATTTGATTAAATAAAACGTAATGAAAACAAGCATAGAACACTATTTCCTAGATATAGGGTTCAAAGATGATCTAAGATTTTAGGAAATGTATATGTTTATCTCTCAGAATGTTCGGTAATACGTTTATTGCTTGTGATGTGTGTCTATGTATGTATTAACGCGAAGTACTGAACGGGGTGAGAATAGCTTGAGCTACCTCATCCCTTTGTGTGTATTTTACCTCAATAAACTTATTTAAATTTCAATTTCAATTTCAAGATGATCTGTAATACAAAAAATAGTGCTAGTTGGTGACGGTGGAATGCCATCTGCCACTGCTATTAAATTTATTTAATAGTTTCTTCTCGTCATTTGGCACATCCCTTGCAAATGAGCATCCCAAATGGATGTAAATGACTTCCTCTCTGGCAACTACCCCGAGTCTCTGTACCTATCCACCAACAAATTCATATGATGTTAAATATATAATCATCTCACTTAAAACTAAATCAAACATTTCTATATGTCAACCTTAATTTATAAAAAAAAAACTCAAATGTTATAGCTCCAGCTATATCATTACAATAAATCACTCTTAGTATTTCTATATATTCTTAAAAATACGATAGAAAATGTCAATCCATAAAAATGGCGATCTCGCTGAAACCAACAATTATAGACCAACATCAATCCTACCCACCTTCTCCAAAATATTCCAAAGTTAATGTACAAACAGCTTTACTCCTACTTAGCTAAACATAATATACTTGGCTCTTACCAAATAGGCTTCTGATTACCCCCCACACAAAAGTCATTATTGTTTTAATTAGTATTTTTGATTTGATACGTATACCTCTTGACGAAAATGAGTATTATAGGTCCAGTTGTTGACCTGTGTGAGGCGTTCGACGCTGATAACCCTCAAACGACACGACTATGGAATTAGGGGTCACTCCCTTCAATATTTGTGATCGTACCTCAGTGACAGGCAACAGTATATTCCTGTAAACGAGGTTACTAATCCTACATTGTCAATTAAAATTGGTGTTTTACCGGGTAGTATACTTAGTCCACTCCTCTTTCTCATTTACATCAGTGACCAAATGCCATACAACACCTGAAGGGATTTATATTTGCTGATGACACAACCTTCTTTTTCTCAAATGCTAACACACTCTAAATGACAGTGAATGCTGAACTGAAAAGTCCATCTATGAACTGTGATAATAATCCTGACCTCAAACGCCTTCTAGTGGGTTGTAACAGAACCTATTGCTACCACCGATAAACTAATATCTATTTTATATTCTAAGAGTGACTTACCCGAAGCAGAAATGCCTTGTAAATTAAGGGTCCTAAATTGTGGAATGACACCCAAATTAAGTAAACAAAACTGTACTTCTCTCAACCATTTTAAAAACTAAATACCTGATTAACTTTATATAGGCAATTTTACTCGGTTCTTCTTCTTCCTACATGTCAACATGCGTTTTGATAATGTATTACACACAAGCAGATATATCCTCCCCGTCTCTTCCCCCCCCCACGCACACCCTCCCCGTCACTCTCTCCCCCACATACACCCTCCCCGTCACTCTCCCCACGTACACCCTCCCCCGTCACTCTTCCCACGCACACCCTCCCCGTCACTCTCTCCCCACGCACACCCTCCCCGTCACTCTCCCCCCACGCACACCCTCCCCGTCACTCTCCCCCCACGCACACCCTCCCCGTCACTCTCCCCCACGTACACCCTCCCCGTCACTCTCCCCCACGCACACCCCTCCCAGTCACTCCCTCCCCACGTACACCCATCCCCGTCACTCAAATCGACTAAGCTACGACAGGGTAAAAGGGTTGAAACCGAAGTTCTACTGAACTTACTGGATCCCGTAGCCTCTCCGAGGCACAAACCAAGCTTTTACACAACCCCCCCCCCCCTCCTGCACCCGAGCTATGTCAATAGGCCGTTCTCCCTCTTCGCCCTTACATCATCACACACAGAGATCACACTAACGTGATGCATCAAATGAATGTGTGATGATGTAAGGGCGAAGAGGGAGAACGGCCTATTGACATAACTCGGTTGCAGGGGGGGGGGGGGGGTTGTGTAAAAGCTTGGTTTGTGCCTCGGAGAGGCTACGGGATCCAGTAAGTTCAGTAGAACTTCGGTTTCAACCCTTTTACCCTGTCGTAGCTCAGTCGATTAAGGCAGTGTCTGGGATGCTCCCGGACGCAGATTCGAATCCTCGTCACGGCCCTTGTGGATTTGTTCATTTGATGCATCACGTTAATGTGATCTCTGTGTGTAATCATTCAGAACCTTGTATACCACATATATAAGACCAATCCTGGAGTATGCGGCCCCAGCATGGAGCCCGTACCTTGTCAATCACAGGACTAAGCTGGAAAAAGTTCAGAGGTATGCAACTAGGCTAGTCGCAGAACTAAGAGGCATGAGTTACGAGGAAAGGCTGCATGAAATGCACCTAACGTCGCTGGAAGATGGGAGAGCTCGGGGAGACATGATTACCACCTACAAAATTCTAAGATGAATCGACAGGGTAGATAAAGATATACTGTTTAACACGGGGGGTACTCGAACAAGGGGACACAGGTGGAAACTGAGTACCCAAATGAGCCAAAGGACGTTAAAAAGAACTTTTTCAGTGTCAGTAGTTAACAGATGGAATGCATTAGGCAGTGATGTGGTGGAGGCTGACTCCATACACAGTTTCAAATGTCGATATGATAGAGCCCAGTAGGCTCAGGAATCTATACACCAGTTGATTGACAGTTGAGAGGCGGGATCAAAGAGCCAGAGCTCAACCCCCGCAAGCACAACTAGGTGAGTACAAAAAGGTGAGTACCCACCCTTCCCAGGTCTTCCATTCATCATTAACAAGTTTCACAACTCTATTCCCATCACTGTAACCAAAAAGTTATACTCCTCTGAACATACATTATGCACGTCAATACCCAGATAAACTATCATTTAAACGCATGTTCTGTACTACTGACTTGTGGCAGAACATTTCATATCCACCGACTTGATGAAGGGGACATATGGACCGACCTGACTGATGAAGATTAAGTCACCCAAGAGGTGGCACGGGCATGAATAGCCCGTAAAGAGAGCCGACATCCTTTCAGATGGGGGTTATAATGGCCGATCCCGACCCCCCTTATGACCTTCCCCATACACTTACCAGTACATTGTATCTATAAAGTTTAATGGGGGCCACCTGCAAGTTTGCTAGAGTACTTTTGCTTCTCAGTTCTATTGTCAATGTCCCACGATGTTTCCTGTGTGTAATATTTGTCACATCCTGCACATGGGATGGTGCAGGCGCCAGCTTCAGTGTCCCAGTATGGGATGGGTGTAGTCCATGATGTATAAAAGAATGTGAGCTTCAGCAAGCGACACCTCGGTCGCTTTACCCCAAGTTGTTAGGTAACGGTATATATATATTGTGACTTGCATGCAATATGATGCAAATACCGGTGTGATGGCTTGCTCTCTCTGGTTGCCTGCGGTCGTTTATGAGGTGCCAGGGGAACTCCAAATATACGTGGGCGTATATTCTATACGCCCACGGGAAGATTTTTTCCATTTTTTTTACCTTCATTTTTTCCGATTCTTATAAAGTGAATAGCACAAAGTTCTACTAATTGCTTAGAACGGCAATCTTTGTACTATGGTGCTCATAGTTACAAAACTTAGTATTTAAACCGGAGAATGGGTTGCAATATCCGAGGAATTAGTTAGGTACAGGTACAGATACTAGGAATGACCGATTGCCTGAGGGGTTATCATCTACCTTGATTTTTTTGGCATGTTGAGATCTTATTTACTTATTTTATTTACTATAAGATCTTATTTACAAGGGATGTGCCAGATAAGAAAATATTGAATTTGATAGTAGTGTTTGATAGCATTCAACCATCAGCTAGGAATGTTTTTTATTCGAATTTTTATTTGATCCCAATAACTGTTCTTTTTCATATTTGCCAATTGATTTTCATAGGAGGTTGTATACAACATATTACCGTGGATAGCATTGGCTTATAAATGTGAGGAAATGATTGCACACATTCGTTGACGTGGGGAGCCGGTCAGCAGAGCGGACAGCATGCTGGACTTGTGATCCTGTGGTCCTGGGTTCGATCCCAGGCGCCGGCGAGAAACAATGGGCAAAGTTTCTTTCGCCCTATGCCCCTGTTACCTAGCAGTAAAATAGGTACCTGGGTGTTAGTCAGCTGTCACGGGCTGCTTCCTGGGGTTGGAGGCCTGGTCGAGGACCGGGCCGCGGGGACACTAAAAAGCCCCGAAATCATCTCAAGATAACCTCAAGATAACGTCCGACTTAGCAATCTCAACGCCATCTAGCTCGGAAGAAAGGTAAGAATAAGAGAAAGGGAATAATGTTATAGTTATCTATTCGTAGAACTAATAAATTAGTTAGACATGATTTACATTCACAAAAGCGCAAGTCTCAGTTGTAGCAAAGCCATGTTGGTGTCTAAACACAATGCAATCTACGAGTCACATCAGTGGCTGGTGGTCTATATTGGAATGGTGCCCGACTTTCTCCTTTCTTGTATATGATTAACACATTAGCCTGTTTTCCATATATCTAACAATGCATTCGCTTGCATTATGGAGAATTGTACGAGAAAGGCTCAGGTGCTGCCTCATTCTGGATCCAGAGCGAGATCTTGTCAATTGGTGCTATAAAGTATTCGCCTTAAACCAGAGGAACCGGGCACCGCTCTTGTGCCAGGTAAGTTCACTACGGGCTCACCATAGCCCGTGCTACTTGCCCAGCTCCTATGCCAGGTAAGTTACGGGCTCACAATAGCCCGTGCTACTTGGAACTTGTTCCGAGTGGCTGAATTTATAACAACAACAACTAGAGGAACCTCTTTCGATCCCTCATTGGCTAGCTCCGCTAACACGTGATCTTGGGGAAGGCAAGGCAATTATCAGGAGAAAACATTAATCCAGTATAACTAGACAGCACTTGGGAAGTGATACGTAAACAAGGATTTGAGAATCTGGGAAAGAGTAAATTAACGGTGCTTGAACTATCGGGGATTAAACGCTGACCCTGAATTGAAGTTCCAGAAGAAACTGGGCTACTAACAAATCGGCGTTTGTCCTTTTACAAATTACGTCTGAATTTGGCCGTTGTTTGTCCGTATGGCCGAAAATGTGCATACTTTGAAAATGAAAAATAATTGAAAATAAATTTTGGAATTTTTTTTTTCCCCAGACAGCAAGTTAAGGATCCTCTGGTAGGTTAGGAGTGCAGGAAGTTCTTAGGTTTCAAAACGTCATGAAAACCGTAAATTGAAGGTTTTCTCTCCTTACCTAACAGCCTAAGCCAGAGGACCCAAACAGAAAACGGGATAGTACGTCACTTTCGTAAGCCGATTTTATTTCAAATTACGTCCATTTTTGGCCATAGCGCGCATACGAGCGTAAAGAGACGTTATTTTAAGAGGACGGGTTGCAAAAAAAACCCAAAGGGCGATAAGTTTCTTCTTCCAGTGTCTCAGTGTCGCGGTTCAAAGGGAAAATGCCAGCTGCAACTTGGGCTCGAGTTCAACCCCTGAAGAGTTGGTGTTTGATTTGCAATAGTAGTCAAACTGGTTTGTGATATCTGCTATTTTTTTTTCATTGTACTTGTAACAGTAATAGCATGCATGTAAGTGCCACAAATTTTACAATTAAAAATAGGGGTGGTACAAGCAAATACAGTACTCGAGAAAGAGAAACAAATTTACTAATAATATATCTCCTCCGAGGTTATGGGTCCCCACAATTGCATCAGAGGTGGCGGCACCCATTTATATGTCAAATTTAAATTCAAAATTCAAATTCAAATGAAATTCAAACTCAAATACAAGATGTTTAAACATCTTGTATCTTACCTTGGTTAGGTTGGGTTTACTTATTTAAAAAAAATATATTACGTAATTTATAATATAATAATAATATTTGGTTTACAAAAAGGTACAATGGGTTGGTGAGATTACATTAGTTATATTTTTACATTCCTGCAAAGCCACGAGTAGAGTTTAGGGCAGGTCTTTAATCTAACATATCAGGTAAAATGAAAAATTACATTGTAGCAAGGTTGTATATCAATATAAATTGACATAATTACACTGGTAAAGATTAAGTACTTAATTAGCTTTAAGTACTAATATTGGGGAAGTGGGTAGTATAAGATACAGTGCTAGTTTGAAGAACAAAGGTAGGAATTAAACTGGGAGGATGAAATTAGGTACTTTTTGGTTTTACTTTTGAACGGGACATAGGCTGGACAATTTTTAATTCATCAGGGAGTTCCAAAGACTGTGGCCCTTTTATCTGCACAGAATTAGCCTGACTGGTGATATCAAAATATATTTATTTCTGGTGTGGTGCTCATGGGTTCTATTACACCTATTAAGGAAAAGTTTGTTCAAATAAGATTCGCATTTAGGAACAAGGTTTTGTGCATGTAGATTGCACATGAGAATGTGTGGAGTATGTTTAGCATGTTAAGGGACTTTAACAGAGGGGTTGTGTGTTGTCTGAAGACACAGTTTGTTGTAGTTCTAATTGCAGATTTTTTGCAGTGATAATAGGCTTGAGGTAATTTGCAGTGGTTGAACCGATACGCAAAACAGTGAACCGGTTGAACAGTGGTTGCACAGATATCATATGTAAGATAGGAGTAGATTAGTGCGTAGTATAATGAGACAACAGAACAGAGTGGGGAACATATCGAATTTTAGATAGTATACCGACCGTTATGTAGGCTTTATTATGCGATGTGGTGTATGTGGGTGCTGAAGTTCAGTCTATGTATAGGCCAAGGAACTTTACTTCATTTTTATTGGTAATGTTAACATTGTCTATCTGAAGTTGAATCTTATTTGATGATTTACTACCATATAAAATGTAGTAGGTCTTTCCTATGTTTGGTGTAAGTTTGTTGGTTGACATCCATGAGCGGACTTTTTTTAATTCATTGTTGACAATATTATTTAGTGTGTGGGCGTTGGAGTCAGAATAGATCAAGGTAGTATCGTCAGCAAATAGTATAGGGTTAAAAAACATTTGGCAAATCATTGATGTATACAAGAAATAGGAAAGGCCCTTAGATGCTGCTCTGTGGCACCCCCTATTGTCAATGGTAGAGTAAGGGAGGTTAATCCTATTGATGGCTACATGTGGCGAAAAATGGCTCAGGTCTCAGCCGATTTTGGGACAAATTAATTTAGTTGCGCCTCTCAACTGCTCTCTAACACTGTGCATTACGTGTGTGTTAGTAATCTGTACTGTAGATTTAATTAATTAAATACAACTGCTTTACTTACAATCTGGGTGCACGTTGAACTCATTTTTGCTGTCTCTTGTCTTCGCCGTTTATTATTGTAGTGAATTCATCACATTTCTAATATATTTTATTCCCGTTTCGAGTACACCAACGAAATATAGCGATGCATTTATAAGGCGTCCTGAGGAGCGCGGACGTGTACCCTCCCTGAACCCTCAGAACAAACTGACCCACTGTTACCCACAACATAACGGCCGACCAGAGTTTCCAGTCGCTATATATTGTCATTTTTTTCTGCGAAATAAACAAATACTATCTCATACAACTAACGTATTATGCATATTCGAATAAGGCAATATAGTTTGCTCTATACAAATAATCCACACTATCATGACGTCCTTTGACAAGAAAACAAATTATAAATGAGTTGGGGGTCAAAGAACTTGGCGCTATATAACGGTCGCCTGAAAGATGGTGTGGCTCGTGTTGTTGAACCGGTTTTACCTGAATTTACCTGAGGGCCACCATCTCTCTAGTGACCTTGGCGGGGACAAGAAGCCGGCGGCTTGTCAAGCCCCCCCCCCTATTTTTCTGATTACAATTACTAACTTCTTTCTTAATTATGCACCCCCATACCCATCCCGTGGGCGGTGGGGGGAAAGGGTTACGGAGGTACCGATTATGTGCCTGTATTCTTCTAACTGATGCTCTTAATCTACCCCAGGACAACTGATAATTGGGATTTAACTGCATCAACAATTTGTTTGCCCACTCCTGGTGTTTGTTAAGGTCTTCCCTCAACTTTCTGAAGTTTTTTTTTTTGTACATTCCTCGTTCTCTTACAAATCATGTCTCTTTTTCGCTCAAATACGCTACGGCCAAAAAAGGCCGTAATTTGAAAACGAAAAATAATTTAAAATAAATTTTGGATTTGTTTTTTATAACAGCAAGTTAAGTGTCCTCTGGTAGGTTAGGAGAGTTAGTTTATTTCATTTATTATGCACCCCATACCCATCTTGTGGGCGGTAGTGGAAAGGGGTCCGTCTAATTACCGCAAGCTACATAAGCTACACAAAGCTTCCTGGCAATACGTTAGTAATGAATAAATATGATATGTTGGGTTCGGTTGACCTGACCTAACCTGACCTAACCTGACCTGACCTAACCTAACCTAATCTAACCTAACAGACGCTTGGATCGTCGACTTGATTTGGCGTCACCAGCTCTTTATTTTCATCTAATTTCTTTATAAAAAGATACTTTTTCAGATTAAAATAATTATGTTTTTTCGTGTTGTACATTCAGCACCAACATTATAATGAGTAAATATATCATATTTATTCATTACTAACGTATTGCCAGGAAGCTTTGTGAAGCTTGTGTAGCTTGTGGTAGCATGTGGTAATTAGACGGACTGGTGGAAAGGGTTACAGAGGCACATAATGGGCTCAGGGACTGAACTCCACAATTCATTTAGCTAAGCAAGTTACAATCTTGATGAGCTAGTTACAAAATTCAGTATAAGTCGTCACATCATCAATGGGTTCGAGATCGACCACAAGTACAGTTTCTAAATTAAGTAACTGACATATGTGGAGAGCTAGTGTCACAATTTATATGTTTGTCCTGCACACTGTCCCCCATCCAGTGGGCAGCGGTGGATAGGTTACAATCACTTAGTTACTACCTACAGTTTTCAAACTGTACCATTGTCAACTACCATTTTAAGCTGTCATTGCAATCAATCATAGCTACCTATGTGCTTTAATATACTGTACCTATAATTTTCTCTCATCTTTTTTTTTTCATTCCATGTAATCTGTTATCATTTTTTTGTCTATAAATTTTGCAAGTATTTACCTCCTTAAAATTTTCTTAGATTAAGGACCTGCCCGAAACGCTGCGCGTGCTAGTGGCTTTACAAGACTGTAATTACCATATTTGTATCCTCACATTCCTTATGTACATTCTTGTATATGCATAAATAAATAAATAAATAAATAAACTGGGGATATTTGGCTAGGAGAGCAGGAAGTTCTTCTAAGGTTTCAAAACCTCATGAAAACCATTAATTGAAAGTTTCCTCTCCTAACAGCCTAAGCCAGAGGATCCAAAATAGAAAACAGGACAGTACGTCACTTTCGTGAGCCGATTACATTTTAAATTACGTCCTTTTTAAGCCCGAGTGTGCATACGAGCAAAAAGTAACGTAGTTTGTAAGTGGACGAGTTGGCCAAGCAAAAATGCTGTGGAGCAACTTATCCAAAAAAATATTGTTCCCCGACAGCTGGGTGGGCAGTGCTTCGGATTCGTAGTCTTGAGGTTCCGGGTTCGATCCCCGGTGGAGGCGGAGACAAATGACCACGTCTTAAGGTCAGTTAGGTAAATGAGGTGAATACAAGAGCCCTAATGACCAACCACTAGGTACACCTGAGGCTGCCACCTGACACACTCAGTGATATGTTTTGCCTAAATACATAAACTATAAAGAATAATAACGAATAACGTAATATTAAGTACACACAGGAACACTACTTTCTATATTATGATTGATTAAACAATTACAGCTGTAACATAGATCTATTGTATTCACACTTAATCAATTTGAACCACACCAATCACCTGCTCGTCGTCAAATGACCACATTTTATGAAGTGGGACTCACCCTTGATTGACCATAATATCAAAACTGTCAACCTGTAATACAATTAAGCTTCTGACCACCAGAGGCGCTAATGCTCCCCTGTTATGACACTATCCATATAATGATTGCGGACATAACCAATTCTACATTTAAATACGTTCATGTTTTGTAGTATATACGACACCTTCAGGAATTTTATGAGTAGAGGATTTAGTGTAAACAATATATGGGTGACTGTAACCTGAAAACAGTTGTGGGTATAAACTAAAGTCTTTGAAAATGTAATAAGTTATTACGAAACGCGTTCAAGCGTTGCATCAAACTAGAAATAAAAATGAATTTTGGAGAATGATTTTTCAATTACCATCGACAGTGAAAAGAAACATAAGACATATTGAAAAAATTCGTGTTAGAATTATTAATCTTACTTTTTCGGTCATATTTAACAACATATGTTTACAAGAAAGACTGCTACCAAAATATACTTATATATTATATATTATATATATAATATATATATATATATATATATATATATATATATATATATATATATATATATATATATATATATATATATATATATATATATATACTGTATATACAGTATATGTATTATTTATTCATTTCATAACAGATATACATGCAAAAAAGTACTTTGAGTTGAGAGAGAATAAATTTTGGTGATTAAGTAGAAAAATTTTGCAAAGATACTTAACATTTTACCTGAATTTACCTGAGGGCCACCATCTTACTAGTGGCCTCTATGAGGACAGGAAGCTGGTGGTTTGTTACAGGTCCCCCATTTGTCCTAATGATTTTATCCAGCTTGACCTTAAATTGAAACAATGTTTCCACTTTTACGACTTCAGTGGGTAGGCAGTTCCATGGGTTTTATAAGCCTGTGGGTGAAAAAGCATCTCCTGTTTTTTGTTCTACATTGTAGCTTGTTAAGCTTGAAACTATTGCACCTTATATGAGTCATATCTGACCTTTTAAATAAATAGTCTGGATCCTTCAAATTGTTTAATATTTTAAAAGTTTTGATGGAATCAGGCCTGTCATGTCCAGTTTGCAATGTTGTTAGCCACTAAGTCCCTCAACTGTTCCTAGTATGAGAGTTGACTTAGTTCTGAAATGATTTTGGCACCCAGTGTTGAATTTTCTGCAAAATAGATATGTTGTCCTGAAAATGAGGACTTCACGCTGTATAATATGAAAATTGCATTTAGTCTTAAATTGATAAGTGAAAAAACCAGCATTGAATGTAATGAAATGCCATTTTCTAGGTGAGTTCCGGAGGCTCCCCGGAGCTATCCAGGCTGATATGTATATCCCTAACCTTTGGCATCAGTCAGTGTGGATGGAGTTCTAGGCCTGCCGAGGACCACGAGCCAGAACCTGGGCCCCCCTCAGAGAGGCACGAGGAGCAATGGCCTATAGAAATGCACATGTGATTTACAGCATTCTATATCTGCCATCGACCGGGACAGCCACCTAGAAAGATAAGCGCCTCAAAACAAACTATTCTGGTTAAAACAACGAAAATAGCCAAACAAGTGGACCGAACTCCCCAAATGAAAACAAACAACCACGCACGATGGCACACGAGCCACGCCGCCTGTCTGTGCAGCTCCCCCCTCCCCTGGAGAGGGAAGGGGGAGCCCAGACCCAACGTGCTGGCAATTCAACCATTAGTTCTTAGGCTGGATGTCAAAACATGCAAAAAATCCCCAACTGAGGGGATGGGGGGTTGCCAGGGAGCCTCCAGGACTCGCCAAGAAAATGTTTTTTCATTACATTCAACGCTGGTTTTCTGGTGGGAGCCCCTTCGTCTTCCCGGAGCTACTTCACTAAAGACAAAAACTAGAGGGACTTTCCCGGGAGGCGGTCGATGCTCACATCTCAACTCAAAGTCAAGACAACTGGCTGCAACCAAAGGGACATAGGCCCGACTAGGCCCAGGAACATTCACGAGGTAGCGTACAGCCAGGACTCTGTTCGACCACCAAAAACCCTGTTCCCAAATGTCAGCCCAAGACAGGTTACCAAACACGGCAGCAAGAGCAGCAAACTTACGAACGTTGTGGGCACGGGGATAGACTGCAGGCTGGCTGGACCGAATAACCCTGAGGACAACCTGAGAGACCCAAACCCGGGAACAGGGAAGAAGGGAAACCAGATCAATCCAAAGTGATGAACATGATGAACCCCCGGCCTGACCAACCAAGCATCAACAACCCAAAAGTTCCCTCTGGAAGGCAGCAGTCTCATTCTTCGCCTGAAATGAAGGAGACGGCTGCAAGCGAATAAACCTATCACCACAACCAAAAAAGTAAAAAACCCTGCGCTCGAGGAGGGCATGAAGCTCCCCGACCCGACCCCCAGAGGCCAATGCCAACAAGAAAAGAGCCTTAGAAAAACAATCCTGAACCAAAGGGGCCACAACAAAACAAGAATACAAATATGAAAGCACCATTTCCAAAGACCAGGACGACTCAGGCGGTGCATGAGCAGGCCGGAAGTGAAACAACGACTGAGACAGCTTGCAAAACGGTGCAGAAGTAACATCAATACTGAAAGCAAGCTGCAGTAGCTCCGCCAGCACCGCCCGATACGCGACGATAGTATTCAGCATCAGAGGACGGTCTTGAAACAACCACGAGAGAATGGACAAAACAACCCTAACCGAAAGCAAAGTACAATGAAGGAGAGACATGAACTGGAAGGACTGCCAGGAAACTTCATGCTGCCGCCGAGACGAAGCCCGCAGGTGGGACACCATCAAGGAAGCCACCTCATCATCATAGAGATGGTGATAGATTTGAGTCAAAAACTCCAGATGCGAAAACTTGAGAAGATCGAACCAGTCTCGTAACGAACTGGACCGATCTGCTGAAAGAAGGTGGAGCTGCGGGAAAACCTCCAGGTTCGGACACCAAGCAAGCAGCGCCTGAAACCAAGGCTGGGTCGGCCACCATGGGGCCAGAAGGACTACTTTTCCCTGGTAAGCCTCCAAGCAAGCCAGGACCTGGAGCAACAGCTGAACCAGGGGAAAGAGGTACAGAACCCCGACCTCGATCAGTCCTGCCAAATGGCATCGACCAAACCAGACCCTGGGAACAGCACGAAGCGCCTCCACATCCTCCGCAAGCCAATCAGAAGACATCTCCAGGAGGGAAAAGAAATGCACAACCGAAGCCAACAAGCCACGAGTGCGCAGCCGAAAGGGTGGGAACCTGCATGTGAAGCTGAACTGCGCCCACCACATCCTGCAGAAGAGCAAGAGCGAACAAGCACTCATTAAGGTGCTTGAAATTGCAATAAACCAGTGCAATAAACTACCACTTACCCCAAGGTAAACATGGCAGGAAAACCCCCAACACTCGGGGCGGTCAATTACCAAGCAGCAAAAGACCACAGAGGAAGACCCCAAGGTGACTTGTGGAAGACAACCCCAAGCCCCAAGGGCAGTACTTACAGGGCACTCAGGGAAGGTAACCCTAAGCACATGCAGCCCGAGTACCTGTGAATATTACTCCCAGCTCGCACACTCCCGTAAGAGAAGTACTGAACGCCAAGCACAGCATAGCAAGAGAATTTGGAGCTGGAGCCACCTGACCCTGCCACAATCACATCAGCCTAAGAACTGATGGTTGGATCATGTTGAACTGATGATGGTGGGTCTGGGGCTTCCCTTTCCCCCTCCCGAGGAGGGGAGAGCTGCGCAGACAGGCAGCTCATGTGACGTCATGATTGATTGCTCGTTTTCATTTGGAGAGTTCTGTCCACTCGTTTGGTTATTTTTGTTGTTTTAACCAGAATAGGCATTTGTTTTGAGGCGCTTACCTTTCTGAGTGCCTGTCCCGATCGATGGCAGAAATAAGAGTGCTCCAAATCACATGTGCATTTCTATAGGCCATTGCTCCTCATGCATCTCTGAGGGGGCCAGGTTCTGGCTCGTGGTCCCTGGTAGGCCTCGAACGCCATCCACACTGACTGATGCCAAAGGTTGGGGATATACATATCAGCCTGGATAGCTCCGGGAAGCTGAAAGGGCTCTCCCCAGGAAACCTCTGAATTTCAACCATTCCTCACACTTTGCTCGATTCAAGTGGTAACCAATCTCAAAGATACATTCAAAATTAGTATGTTCTCAAATATAAATTACATATTACATACTATGTGTTGTATACTTAGGCTTAGATTAGGTGAAGTTGGGTGATTATATTCTGTTGGCAATTATTGGTATTTGCAGTATGTAGATGAAGTATTTAGAGAGGTACAATTCAAGCAGAGAATGTGAAAAAAAGCATTGTTCAAGAAAAGTCATCAGTTGTGAGTAGTATGCATTATCATCAGTTGTGAGTAGTGTGTAAACTGATTTTCATTCATATAGAGGTGTTTTGGAAAGTGGATTAATGAACATTTGGCCTTTACTGATGAAGGGGTGCAGAATTTAAACCCAGGGGATTATCTTTATAAATTACTTCACAAAGATGAGATGAAATACAGGTTGTAAAAGATACTAAGAATTCCTTTGAAAATACTTTATTCTTCTGCTGCTATATCCTTGTACATTTCATTACAAAATTACGGGTTGGCTGCTTGGAAGTAGAAAATTACAACTACTCACATGACAGGTATTGTCCCCTTGCACAATGATACATCCAAACAGGAAGAAGTTAAACAGGTGTTTTCTTGTGTTGTCAAAACAGAAGAAGTTAAAATTAGATTTAAATTTTAATATGATTTAATGTTTAACTTGTACTGTACTTTGCAAATTACTACAAAATTAATCTACTTTACAACTAATAATACATCTCTGACATCCCTTTTTATTTATACTACAACTTCAAAAAATAAAAATAAAAAAAATCTTCTATTTTCTACACACAAGAATATGATTTAATATTAGGCCTCGACTTACTAGCTCTTAAATAAACACATAAGGGATAACACATTTTCCTCTTTTTGACAGGCATTACTGTAAAACACTTCTCTTAAAGTACACTCATAATGTGCAAGCAGACAATACACTTCTATTATCTCCCCAAACAGGCACTGAACATACATTTCAAAGCCCTACACAACCAATTCACAACATGAGGAGTAAGACAAAGTAAATAGGAAACGGATAACCACATGACCGATATCTTTAGTAATGATAACGCATGAGTGACTGTTAACATGTCGCCTGTTTTATTAGCTTGTATTTAATGTTGTGTATTAAAATGCTTTTTATTTTATGGCTATTAAAGACAGGAGCTTCAACTCTTTCAATTTTTTTAAATTTTTTGGGTGAAAATTTGTCATTCCTAACAGACCCATACAAAGCAAAACATTTACACATATGCACATTCAGTGGTCTTAAATCACAGTACATTTCAGAGCCTGAAATGGGGGGCCATGCTTTTGGCATCCAGCATGAAGTTATAGGTTGTGAACAGGGTTTCCATTGACATAAATATAAATTTCCACAATCAATGGAAAATACCTTATATGACGTGAACAATAATTACACATATTGGTGTGGCAATGACTCAAAATCACATATTTCTTCTGAATGTTAGTCCTCTGGCTAATAGGGACAGGACAACAACTCCCTAATGAGAGTCTTTCCTGAGTACAGGTAGCTTAACGATAACCGCTGCAAGAAGTGAGGAGTGAAAACTGTCACTCTAATGAGATGGGGAAGAATTACAAACACTGTGCCTTATGAGACCATGTACAAAAAACAGTTTTGTTTACTATTACTATTGATAAATTGTCCCCAGTGCATTAATTTGATACCAAATACTGTATAACTCCTTACAGAAGAAATATACTCAAACTTAAAATGGTTTCTTTAGGGGTTACTCAATTTTTATATTACAGTATAGGACACATTATTATTTTATAATACTTTCCAATGAATGAAACTATTAAAATTACAATTCATATTAATAACTTTACAAATACAGACCAGTATTTGTAAATCACTTCCCCTTACTCAGTAACTTTTTTTTACAATATGGTAAGTTAACAAAAGCAGAAGAATACAACACACAAAAGAAATGGGACCATCTTCTTATAGGTGTACACAGAAAAAACTAAGACACCTAACCTTACACTTGGGATACAAATTCACCAAAAACTCTGATGATAAAATAAAGTGGTGCTTGGTTGTCAAGGTAAGATGTCTTCAGTGAACTCCAAATAAACCCATCATCTTGCAGAATCAATGGTGAATCACACACCAGTATAACATAAAACAAAAAGGCTAGAGCCTACAGAGGTAAAAGGTTACATCGAGGAAATGATTTGATGACATAACCTGTGAAATCAAAGAAAACCAAACAACTAAAGACTACATGCATACATAATGATTCTTCGAAACAAACCCAACAGAACACATTAGATACACTGAATATATATTTACCATATTTACTGCTGAATACAACACTAATCAAAAACACAGAATCAAATAAATCAATAACTTCCCTCTATACCTACCTCTATATATATATCTTTTAACACAACTACATTAAATAGCACATCCACCTACACATGAAAGCTCTCCTATATTGTAACAGGGTATCTTCTAACGTCTCTCGGACCATTTAATGGAACTTAGGACTGGCTTCCTCATAGCTGCAATATAAGCACAAATGTAAGCAATGTAAAATAAAGGCACAGAGATGGCATTGACCTTTTGGCGAGTGAATTGTCTGCCTTACATTCAAATGGAACACCCCACTTCAGTCAATAAAACTGGAAAAGGAACAGAGGAGACACTGAATAACATCAACATACCAGTTTTAATAAATAACATGTATAGACTCCATTTTCGGCAAACAGACGTAGCAGTGACAAGGGTTAATGGGTTGTACACCCTTCAATACCGTGGCTTGGGTACAACAAACATAGACAAACACATTTTCATAGTCTTTGGTTAGCCTAGGGCTATGAGCCAGACAGACACACTTGTCTATCTGAAATCACAATGACCTGCTACCTTGTGTTTTTCATAGTAACAAGTCTCACCTTCTAATCTGCCTGACCAAAAATAGAAAAACTAAAAAATAAATAAAATAAAATACAGAAAGAAATTACATGAAAATATTATAATGAAAAGAAAAAATTAAATAAAAAATCATTTTAGCCAATATTCCCACCTGTGGAATATAGCATTTTATAAAAAGATAATAGTTACTTATTTAAGCTTTATTAATCACTCATTTAAGTGAATAAGACGTTGGCTGAACATTATTCATCATTCATCTAATATGAGAAATGTGAGCAGAGAACCAACCCACTTTTTGTGGCAAACTTCCACTGCATTCTTTGAAATATGTACTGCGTGTATAAAAAAAAAAAAATTATGAATGAAGCATCAAAGTTGAAGGGGGGGATGCCCTCTTAATGGAAACTCCCAATGTTAGACTAGTTATCATCTTTGCCCAACACTGCCTCTTCTTGGCTACTCTCCGTCCTGGCCCCTGACACATGGAGGTATCCTTAAAAACTCTCAAACCGAATTCAATGAGTAAGAACACTAAAAGAATCCATTAGCAATGCTTCAAAAATGTGCCTCCCTTGAAAATGAAGAGATATAATGGCCTACATTCACTATTGCCAGTCTATGGCACTTTGTTAACTAATTAATAAATGTGTAAGCACAGTCGCTTAATATCACAGCTATGCTAAAGAGATGAACCTATCGGTAATTATATCAGGTCCTACTCTAAGCGTAGTTGTTGAATGCTTTAAATACTATAACAGAGGTTGTGTTTAATAATAGGTAGCCAGTGAGAGCAGGGTAATTTCTTTTTCACCCTTATGTTCGCTCTGGGTAACTATTAACTATCTGAAGTAATATTTGAAGCACCTCCTCTTAGTGTTCTTAGGTGTTTACGAGAGCTGAAATGACTGGAAGATTTGTCATCCTATATCTAAAAATTCTTGAAGACAAACATTGATCAATGTCCTAAATTAGCAATGCAAAGACTGCTATAAAAATATGACCTTGGAGTACAATCAATATACAAAAGTTATCACTTTTGTACTGATAAAATTAATAATCACTTTGTGCAGTACATTGAAGTACAAGACAATATTTGAATATTATAAGCATGCATCCAGATTTATTAGCACATTTACAAAACATGTATTCCATGAAATATATATCTAAAACACAATATTTAGTGTTTACATGTTTCAAGAAGCCATGGCACATAATAAGTACATAAGGATATCATCTATGTTCAAGTTAATGTCTGAAGTTGTAAAGCTGCCATGTATAATTCCTACTAAAATATATGGAACCAATGTCCATTCCATAGAAAATCTTAATTCTGTCATATATGGAACTAAATGTGAATTAAAAAACAACTAACTCTGTTTTAATTTTAAATTTCTGCAAGAAAATTTTTTGCAAGTAGCTACCGTCGCATCTTATGAGTTCACTCACCAATAAAAATGAGTAGTTAGTCATTTATTAGAAGCGACCTTGAACCATCTCTTTCTGTTATCATTGGTTTAGAAAATTGATAAAAAGACAGTATACAGCATTTATTCCTTAAGTAAACAACTATTAAAAATGTAGTATGTATATATCATTAAACATTTTTGGTTTGTACAGAGAATAGCAACGATAGCCTTTTGGTGAAGTTACTTGTCATTATATCAAAACTGTGTTGATGACAAGCACTGCTCAAGGTTTAATTGATGCCTATCATGTTTATGTATGCTGACAGGTTTGATGACTGGTTAGTAATCTGTTAGCATGAGTGACTTGACAGCAGCTGCACAGTGTATACAACCACATGGCATACACATACGTATACATACGTACGTATGAGACGTGCTACGAAGATGGGAGAAGGACGTAGACACTGTTATACGGACGGCAGGCAATACGGGGCACGGGGCAGAACAGCACAACATGGCAGCTAGGTCGCCAACGGAAAAAAAAGAAAAACACGTATAAGTCATTGCACAAAACCAAACTTTGAGGATCCATGCAACATGAAACTGATTCTTATCCTAATGACTTTTTAAAAGAATTTATTTGGAATGTTTCTTATGACTAGAAGAAAATGTATCACATACATGTTTTTTGGTGATTGTATGCATGCACAGCAAACAGGACACAATAAAACTGCGCATAGTGTAATACGAGATCACCAGAGAGAACTGAGTGTTGTGATGACAGCCATTAAAAACAGAAACTGATTCTCATTCAACATTCAAATTTAAAGTGTTCAAGGACAAAGTAGTGTAATATTTGGGACAAACATGTGACAATACATGTAGTGATGACCATAAATAAACACTAAGCATAAACTAAAACAGCCTGACAGTAAAGGAATACAGTTAGGCTTTTTCTAAAACAACTAAATTAATGTGCTTTATTTTTTCAATAAATGGAGAGGCACCTTCCAAGGATGGTGAAGTCGATCTGGTACATAACATGGCAAATGAAAATCATAATGCATCTTGTGTCAGGCATCTTAAAAAAAACAGAGGAAGCAACTAACTAAATGAATATTAGAAACCTAAACACACTGCACATTGGTGGCTGAAGACAGCATTTAATGCTCCATCTACTAGTTATTATGGGGAAATACTTTCATGAATAGTACGACCCTATATGAACAGAATTTCAAACAATTAAGTGATACAAAAATCCCTTTTATCTTTTCATTACTATTACATTCAGCATACATTTACATTTAAACACATGGTACCAAAACATAAGAACATTTTAGTAACTACCTTTGTCTGCATTTGACAAAATATTATTTGTTAAAATCATTTTACAAGGACAGATGACAATCCACATGAACACCTTTATTGAATACAAGAATATATGTGGTTTTATTTATTTTTGCTTCTGAATTTAAGTATATACAGTATACATAAATACTAACAAGGCTTAGTTCTTATGGAATGACAAGCGAGTTAACTCTTCATCTGGAAAATTTAATGTACAATTTGCACTTCTTGAATAGCCAGGAGTAATATTTGTAAATATTGCTATTAATTACTGTATATTCAATTTTATTTATAAAAATTCTAAATTATCCAATAAATACAAGGCTACATGTTGAATATACTGGCCCATCTGAGAAATCACTACATACAACAAATATCTGTAACCCAACTTTCATTGACATGGTTCAGATTAATTGCATGAAATCTCACAAAACATTTATACATGCTCTAAACCACTACTTTGTCATAGGACAAAAGTAAAATGACACCCACATTGACAAAGCATTGACTTATGCAAAGCATTGACCACATTGACTTATCGGTTCTGGACATCATAATTATTTATCCTGAGACTAGAATTTCCATTTCACTCTTACTCACAAACACAAAATGCACAGGATCCAAAAGAACACAGACTGCATTAACAGCACACTTCACAACGAAGTTGAATTATCATACTATATCTTCCCATTATCAAATACATACTCCACTCCCCCAAGCCCGATGTTAAGACAGTGTTCTCTGATTATGCCTATGGCACCTCTACTTCTCAATGGTTCTATTCTGCATTTCCTTCCGTATATTTCGCTTCTGTATGTTGTTATTCTACAGTGCAAATTTGGGACGTGACCCTCCGGTATCTTCCATATATATATTATTTGATGCCTTTCTTGTCTCCTTTCCAGAGAGTACATTTTAAGAGCTTTGAAACGGTCCTAATAATTCAGATGTTTTATCATTTCTATGCGTGCAGTATATGTTCTCTGTATGCGCTCTAATTTAGAGATCTCTCCTGCTCTAAAAGGGTAAATGAGTACCAAGCAATACTCAAGCCAGGACAGCACTAGTGATTTAAATAGTATTATCATTCCTGTGGGGTTCCTGGATTTGAATGTTCTCATAATCCATCATATCATTTTCCTGGCCGCCGCTATATTTGCTTGGTTATGTTCACTAAATGTCAGGTCTTCCGATATCATAATTCCCAGATCTTTTACATGTTGCTTTCCTTCTATGAGGAGGTCTGATTGTGTCCTATACCCAGTGTTTCGTTAAAGTTCCTTGTTTACACCATACCTCAGTACCTGGAACTTATCCCCATTAAACATGCTATTTTCAGTTACCCAATCAAATACTTTAATTTATATCTGCCTGTAGTTTTTCAGTCTTCTACAGTGGCGATTATCATACTGATTTTTGTATCATCTGCAAAGGATGACACGAAGCTGTGACTAGTACAGTATTTCTATCTATATAAGAGATAAGAATGAGAAACAGCAGTGGTGCAAGAACTGTGCCCAGGGGTACAGAGCTTTTCACTGCACTTGGGCTTGATCTTGTTTGATTGACCGTCACTCTCTGCATTCTGTTTGACAGAAAGTTGAAAATCCAAGCCACACTTTACCTGTTATTCCTACTGATCTCATTTTATGGGCTATCACTCCATGGTCATGCCCCCCCCAACCACTTGGGCTGGACAGTAGAGCGACGATCTCGCTTCATGCAGGTCGGCGTTCAATCCCTGACCGTCCAAGTGGTGGGGCACCGTTCCTTTCCCCCGTCCTATCCCAAATCCTTATCCTGACCCCTTCCCAGGGCTATATAGTCATAATGGCTTGGCGCTTTCCCCTGATAATTCCCTTCCCTTCCATGGTCATGCCAATACCTTCCTAAATACAGTACCCCAAACTAAATATGCTATACGGTATACATCAACTGTAATCAGCTTTAGCATCTTGTATCCTTCTCTCATGTAGCAATGTTACTCCATAATGTTCCTTGTGCCTTCGACTCCTTTACTGCACTCTCATGTCTCGACTTCCTACTTATCCTCACCAGCTGTCATACTTTACATAACCACATCAATTGTTATACTTTATGTAGCCAAACCAGTTGCCATATTTTACATAACCACACCAGTTGCCGTACTTTACATAACCACACCAGTTGCCGTAATTTACATAACCACACCAGTTGCCATACTTTACATAACCACACCAGTTCCCATACTTTACATAACCACACCAGTTGCCATACTTTACATAGCCACACCAGTTGCCATACTTTACATAGCCACACCAGTTGCTATACTTTACATAGCCCCACCAGTTGCCATACTTTACATAGCCACACCAGTTGCCATACTTTACATAACCATTCCAGCGGATCATGCTTTATATAGCCATACCAGTTGCCAGACTTTACATAGCCATACGAGCTACCATACTTTACATAGCAGATGCCATACCTTACTTAAACCATATCATTTGCCATACATTATATAGCCTCACCAGTTACTATACTTTATAGCCACACCAGATGCCAGACTTTACACAGTCATAGCATTTTTGTTATACTTTACATAGCTATACCAGTTATCATACTTTACATAGCCATACTAGTTGCCATACTTTACACAGCCACATGAGCTACCATACTTTATATAGCCATTGCCTACATAAGCCATATCAATTGCCATACCATTTATGATATTTCCATTAATGTAACATCACTTGTATGTATGTACCTTACCTGAATAAACATATTTATTTATTTTATTATACATTATTTTATATAGCCATACCAGTCACTATACTTTATAGCCACACCAGTTGACAGACTTCACATAACAATTTTAGATGATATAATATAAATGACAAAGATTGCCATACTTTATAAGATCATACTATCTAAGAGGCCTTTATACAGTCATATGACTTTTAATTACCTTCCAGCCCACACTACTTTGTTTTGCATTCACCCATTTTTCAATTCAATTTCTTTCTTTATTATGGACCCCAAGCCCATCCTGTGGGCGGTGGTGTAAAGGGTTACCAAGGCACATAATCGATTCAGGAACTGAACCCCCTAGTTTGTTTAGCTAAGCAAATATTTTTAGATTCTCCTTTTAGTTCTAAAATGTTTTATATCATGCATTTCTTATTGTTCTCTTGGCATATTAGCCCAGCCACTTCGGGTGGACGGTAGAGGTACGGTCTCACTTCATGCAGGTCGGTGATATATTCCTAATCATCCAAGTGGTTGGCCACCATTCCTTCTCCTCATCCCACCCTAAACCCTTATCCTGACCCTTCCAGGTGCTATATATTCGTAATGGCTTGGTGCTTTCTCTTGATAGTTCCTTTCCCTTCTTTGCATATTAATGAAATTCAAATATTATGGCCTTGTGAAAAATTTAAAGCTATATTTAATCATGAAGTTCTTTTCAATATTTTGAACTAATCTTGTTCTAAGTTTATTAATGGATTCCTAACGCACAGAATTTCACTTTGCATTATTTTTTTTTAACTTCCAGATTGTGTACAAAATGAAAAAGTTTGTCATTCTTAATTCTTCCATTCACTAAATAAAGACGGACTTTCTATCTCTTACCTAAGTAGGTGCAATAGGTACTCTGAGAGAGAACTCTATCAACATCAGAGGCCTGAGACTGTTCAATACGCTTCCACTACACATAAGGGGCATAACTGGCCGACTCCTTATAGTGTTTAAGAGAGAACTTGACAAGCACCTCCAAAGGATACCTGATCAACCAGGCTGTGACTCATACGTCAGGCTGTGAGCAGCCATGTCCAACAGCCTGTTCGACCAGTCCAGCAACCAGGAGGCCTGGTTGACGACCGGGCCGTAGGGACGCTAAGCCCCGAAAACACATGAAGGTAACAAGGAACCTTCATGTGAACCTTCAAGGTGAGGAACCTAAATTGAGAATCTTGCATATTTATAAGAAATAACTTTTTGCATTGATGTCCTCTCATAGTGACCTGTATATATTGTAAATTTCTCACAAGAAAGCCTGGCTATTCACAATGAAATATAAAATGTATTAAATATGAATAATAATTTTATTTATTATTCAGAAGACTACAATTAAAACCTATTTCTCTACTGAATATAAGTTAAGTGTTTAGTATGTGATTCTTCATATCATATTTATAAAACACCATACAACACAACATCACCATATCAAGTCATCAGCTTGAGTTGCAGTAACACAACAAACACAGGGGACTTCTTGACTCACCACTTTAGAACTGTTCATTTATCATAGCACAGTTTACAAGTTAAATACCAACATTGTTTTGTGGATGTATAGTGATTAAATAGATGTAATAAAGTGGTGGTAAAGAATAATGGCATTAACACTGCAGATGACAACAGCAGATATATCACAGAGCTTTTGAGCAATCTGAACGCATACAGAATTATACCCTGTCATATTACAGGCTAAACAATCAATCAGGAGTCTCCAAAGCTACTCACTGGCTCAAATATTGTTACATTAATAATAAAAATGATTATTATTTAATAAAATAACAAATATATATTATATTTATATATATATATATATATATATATATATATATATATATATATATATATATATATATATATATATATACAGTGGAACCTCTAATAACGAATTTAATCCATTCCGGCACTGTGATCGTCATGTGAAATGGAGACATCATACAAAACGAATGTCCCCACTGACAATAATGGAAATCAAATTAATCCATTCTACCACTGAAAAACATCAATATGATATTCGATGTTTTAAATAATGGAGTAGCCTACCTTATATACACTGAACAAACCTTTATGACATTTTTCTTTCTTCATATTTGTTCCATTTTTTTCATTTGTCTTATAGCAAAAGGTTCATTCGGTGTTTGGCAGGTAGGCTACTCCATGTTTCTTAAATAAAAAAAAACTAAAATTAAAAAAAACTAAAATAAAAAAAATAAAAAATGAAAAATTTTGAAAAACAAAACAATTGTCAAAAAGGTTCGTTCGGTGTTCAGCAGGTAGGCTGCTCAATGTTTCTCAAATAAAAATATAAAAAATAATTTTTTTTTTAAATTTTGAAAAACAGAACAAATGTCAAAAAAGTTTGATTCGGTGTTCGGCAGGTAGGCTGCTCCATGTTTCTTAAAAAAAAAAAAAATAAATAAAAAAAAAAAAGTTGAAACAATTTGAAAAACAGACAAATGCCATAAAGGTTTGTTCAGTGTTTGTCGAGTAGGCTGTTCCATTATGACAATCTTTCTTTGTTTCAAATGTGTTCCATTTGTTTTGTATTTTTCATTTACATCTTAATAATGGAGCAGCGACCTGACAAACACAGAACGAACCTTTATGGCATTTGTCCATTTTTCAAATTGTTTCAATTGTTTTTTTTATTTTTCGTTTTTTTTTTATTTAACACTTTCCTGGATTTTCGACTTGGACTTACGGGCGGTTTCCCTAACCGCTTGTCGGATCACGACGTAAATTTACGGACAGTGTTATATTGGGTATTTACTACTCGATCGACTTGGGGTTTGTATGAATATGTTTGCCATTAAATTTTTGTTTTCTCTAATAGGCACTGTGCCTATTTGAGAAAATGGCAATGTATTGTAACTTAGAGGAGAGACTATTGAATTGGTGTCACAACGAGGGTAATCGGGCACTCCACACACTCTTGTGTTGGCCGCGATCATGATTCTACATTTATATGCATATGTCTGTGTAGAGAATTTTATTCCGAACACTATACAAAAAAAAAAAACGGAGTGAATCAAATATAAACTTGAAAAAACATGAGCAAAGTAAAAACTTTTTACGCTCACGGGTACAAACACACGTAAGATTCGCGTAAGATTTTATTCGCCGCAAATTTATTTGACGCTCTGTTGGCCAATTCTACCCACGTCCTTATAGAACTTTCTATTGCGAACACATTGCTATAAAAATGAAATACGTAGCTCGAGAAATAATGTCATGACAGTGAAATAAGTATAAACTTTCAAAGCGCTGCATCACAACAGTGTCGTCGCTGCTGAAATCACGGCTAACGCTTCGCCCAGTTCCCACACTCGTGCGGAACATAATTAGACATTGATAGGCATATGTCTGGGTGGGGAATTTTATTGCGAGTTCAGTGATAACAAAATAAGCGCTGTAGGATGACTGTGAGGCTGGCAACAAACGAAAGAGTATGAACATTTACTTCCTGTTTGGGTGTCACGGCGAGTCATCTTCGTGTTTATTTACTTCGTGGTGGGATAGCAAATGCTTGGGTGACATTTTATGCATATGATCTTGTAGAAAATTTTATTGCCAACGCATTGATACCAAAATGAAAAACGCAGCTCGAGAATTGATGTTAGGAGCGTGAAAAGATGATAAACTTTTTTGTGTTCATGCTTGAGCGCCCAGAACGCCGCGCACACAACCTGCTTTTTTTTCCAGGGAGTGCCGCGCGCACTAAAGTGTTAAGAAACATGGAGCAGTCTACCTGCCGAGCACCGAACGAACCTTTTTGACATTTGTTGTATTTCAAAAAATTTCATTTCTTTTTTCCACAAAAAAAAAAAGTCATTGCTTTAAAACATCTTGGCAGCACCCCTTTATATCCCAGCATCATTAGCATCTTTAAACAAAAACAACATAATATATTTGCATCGTAAGAGGCGTTCGAGAATGTGCGAGAAGCAGCGCGACCCCACCATGTGGTCTTGTCATCATTCAAACAAGTGGTCGCCATACGAGATGAATTGTTGGCGATCTGGGCGATCGTTACCCAAAATGCTCGCCATTTGAGGCGATCGTCACTCGAGGTTCTATATTGTATATATGTGTGTGTGTGTATGTATATATATATATATATATATATATATATATATATATATATATATATATATATATATATATATATATATATATATATATATATATATATATATATATATATATATATATATATAATGTTGTACCTAGTAGCCAGAACGTCGTACTCGGCCTACTATGCAAGGCCCGATTTGCCTAATAAGCCAAGTTTTCCTGAATTTATATATTTTTCAATATTTCTTTCTTATGAAATGATAAAGCTATCGATTTCATTATGTATGGGTTAATTTTTTTTTCAATTTGAGTTAAAACTAACGTAGATATATGACTGAACCTAACCAACCCTACCTAACCTAACCTAACCTATCTTAACCTAACCTAAACTAACACAATTAAGTCAATAATTTATCTTCTTAATATAATATAATACTAATAATTCAAATAAACTAATTGGAAACAGTTTATTAAAAATAAAGAAAATCACTCGGCCTATTAGGCAAATCGGGCCTTGCATAGTAGGCCGAGAAGTGTGTTCTGGCTACTAGGTACGACATATGTTTTTATTTATATATATATATATATATATATATATATATATATATATATATATATATATATATATATATATATATATATATATATATATATATATATATATATATATATATACACACACATACATACATAATACATATACACATAGTTATATAATATTTCATATAATAAATTATCATAATCTGTTACCAGTACTGTATATGGCATACAAAAAATTCAAATAGCTATTACACCAAGACTCATAATTGTTTGTTAGCCATAAGCAGTCTTATTTCTAAAACAAGAAAAACTGAAACTTTTCATCGACGTTAACAGTCATCAATTAACTGGCAGGCCCACAAGATATACTATACAATATATACATAACTACAAGTTGAGCACTAGGCTTCACATGACTCCTTCCTGACTTACTGTTTTCTGAAAGACTTCTTAAGGGACGAATATTTGTACACATTAATATACTTTACAATTGCACAAACATTTCATACACGTAATATTCCACACAGAAATTAAACACCATCCCTGAACATGAGTATTGTGATTGATGTTTCTATTTACAGGAAAGGGATACATGTCCACAGCACTGTCGATGACATAACCAAATGATTGAAACTGCTCATTGCAGGAACTTATTAAACAGGCACAAGTTGCTTCTGATTGTCAGTTCTTAGTCTGAATAAATGTTACTTAATCTCATTTATATTTTCAGTTAAGTATATACCATAATAAAGGGTAAAAGTGACATTACCTGTCAGCACATGAAATTGCAATTATGATTTACTGAAGTAGTGAAACTAGCTAAATTATATTAAACAGTTTATGAGTATTCATTTTAACATAAAAGTACCTGTTAGTATGGCTTGCAGTCAGTTTTGGAACGCTTCAGCTGCACCTTCAAGCGCTTGTTACCAATCTGTTGACCATTCATGTGCTGAATTGCACGTTGTGCATCCAAAGCATTGTCATACGAGACAAATCCTATAAGCAAAATATTTTGTCAATATATAAAACAAAAATTAATTTGATAGTATTAACCACATTATTCCTTGATTATTACCTATCTCGATGTCAACTTATCTACCTAATGCTCCATTTAGTGCCAGAAGTGGGTTTATATGAAAATGTATGTTGCACAAACACATTGAGTACACTTATATCTGTATATATGGAAAGTATCTTAAAAAATATATATATTTTTTTATCTCCAAACTAGAAGGCAGAGTTTGTTGTTGGAATCCATCAGTATAAGTATCAAAATGTGATTGATTCTTATTTACCAATTGTTTGATTGACATAAGCTAAAAAAAACAGCGTTGAATGTAAGGAAACAGCATTTTTCTGGGTGAGCTCTGGAGGTTTCCTGGAGCTATCGGAGCTATCAGATATATGATATTCTCTACGCTATATTAGTCTGGGGCTTCAGTCAATGGAGATCTGCCTACCAGGGACCGATAGCCAGAACATGGCCCCCTCAGAGAGGCGCAGGATGCAATGGCCCTAGGAAACCCCCATTGTATTTGGGAGTATTCCTTCTGCCATCAACCCAGTGTTAGGCACCCAGAAAGTTAGGCATCTCAAAAAAAATCTCACATGGTAGGAAATTGCAAAAACCCAAGACTGAACAGAGAAACAGAGCTCTCCAAAAGAACACAAAGGAAGCAAGCAAATCAACAGACGTCATTTACCGCTGCCGTGCTGCTTGTTTGCGCAGGGGGTGGGAAGAGCCCCGGACCCTCGTGCCGGCTACTCAAACCTAAGTTCGGAGGCTGAGCATCAAAAACAAAACTGCCAATCGGAGGGAGGAAGGGTGCCAAGGAACCTCCGTGGCTCACCCACAAAATGGCATTTCATTACATTCAATGCTGGTTTTCTGTGGGAGGCCCCTTCAGCTCCCTGGAGCTCCATAACCAAAGATAAGTAAAAATGGGGATTTACCCAGGAGGCAGCCGCACCACTTGCCTCAACTCAAAGACAAGACAACTTGCTGCAACCTACGACACAAGGCAACACATGAACGACTGGGACCAGGAACATGCACCAAATAAGGGGTGGCCAGGACCCTGTTCGACCACCAAAACCCCTGTACCCGATTATCAGCCCAAGACATGTTCCCAAACACAGCGGGCAGAATAGCAAACTTATGAACATCATGGGCACGAGGGTAATCTGCAGACTGGCTAGAATTAAGAACACTGCGGATGACCTGAGAGACCCGAGTCCTGGAACAGGAAACGAGGGAAATTGGATCAACTCAAAGTGCGTCCACGGCCACAGAGGCCGAGGTGTGCAGGTAACGGTGCGGGGCCGCAACCTGACAACACATGATATACCCCCAGCCTGGCCAACTAAGCATCAATACCCCAAGGGTCCCTCCTAAAACCCACTGTCACGTTCTTCGCCAGAAAAGGAGACAGCTGCAACTGAACAAAACGTCTACCAGAACAGAAAGAGCAGAGGCAGCTGCGCCGGAGGAGAGCAGGAATCACATTGATCCAGACCCCAAGAGGCCAATGCCAACAGAAACAAATACTTCTGAAAGCAATCACAAACTGAAGGGGCCACCACAAACCAAGAAGAAGAAAAAAAGAGAGAGCACCTGGTCCAAGGACCAGGACAGCTCAAGAGGCACATGAGCAGGCCAGATGCGAAACAAAGCATGAGAAAGCTTACGAAACAGGGTGGAAGGGATATCCACCCCGAACACAAGCTGAAGCGGCTTCGCCAGTGCTGCACGAGGAGAGGTGACAGTATTAGGCATAAGATGACATCCCTGAAAGTGCTAAGAAAGAAAGAAAACAAGACAACCCAAACAGAAATAGAAGACAACCTACAAAGAAAGAGGAAAAGGCAAAAAGAACACCAAGAGAGATCATACTGTTGCTATTGTATAGCGACAGATGAAGACCACAGGATAGGGGTCACTGTCAATGAAGCCACCTGATCACCAAACAAGAGGTGATACACCTGCGTCAAAAGGACCAAACGCAAAGCACGGAGGAGTAGAATGAACCAGCTGGAGCTGCTGGAAGAGGCGGAGCCACGGAAAACACCCCGGGTTCGAATACTGAGCAAGCAGCGCCTGAAACCAAAGCTGGGCCAGCCACCGCGGGGCCACAAGAACGACTCTTCCCGGGTAGGCTCCAACCATGTCAGAACGTGAAGCACCTGCTGGCCGGGGGGGGGGGGGGGGGGGGAGGGAGGGAGGGAGGGAGGGAGGGAGGGAGGGAGGGAGGGAGGGAGGGAGGGAGGGAGGGAGGGAGGGAGGGAGGGAGGGAGGGAGGGAGAGGTACAAGTAACCCCTCGACCAGTCTTGACAAAAAGCATCCACCACGAAAACACCACAGTCGGGGAAGGATGCCACATATATCGGGAGATGGCGGGACCACATCAACACAAAGAAGTCCACTGCCGGGGGGCCCGTACAGATGAGTCACCAGAAGTGACCAGTCCCAACGAGCCAAAGACCGAAGAGAACCCTTGCAGTTCAGACAAGGAACCACCGGAACCGAAACGTAGAGGCCCAAGTGATCCGAACCCACCGCAGAGAAAGCCAACCTGCCGCAAACTCCCACACTGTGCTGTGAGCCCGACTAAAGGATGGAGCCCAATACCCCTGGCCAGCCTGGAAGCACTGGTCACAAAGCCCCAGCCAAGACACGAGGCGTCCGTGAACACATGAAGCATGGGATCGGGGAGGCACCCAGGCACTCAACCCCAAAAACCCCGAAGAGGAAGCCGGCGACGCAGCAACCGCCGCAAGGCCCACAGGGGTTGAACCCCGCGGTCGTGAGAGAGGCAGAGGGGAAGTCCCCCAAAGGAACCAGAACAGACGCTGAAGCCAGACCCGACACGGCGGGTAAACCAGCACAGCGAAATTCAGACACCCACACAACCCCTTCATGAACAGCTGCAGGTGGGACTGCAGCTGAAAGAATGCCACAGAGGGGAGACACACGGAAGTGGTCCGAGAGGCTCAAACGAGGCCTCTCGTTTGACATACCTCAGACATACCCACCGGGCTGTGGTGGGTATGTGGGCCTGCGGACTGCTCCAAGCAACAGCCTGGTGGACCAAACTCTCACAAGTCAAGTCTGGCCTCGGGCCGGGCTTGGGGAGTAGAAGAACTCCCAGAACCCCATCAACCAGGTATCAACTAGGTAACCAGGAGGCCCAGCCAGGCCCGAACCTGGGACGGAACCAGACGGGACTTACCCAAGTTCACCAGGAACCCGAACCCAACGACCTAGGAAAAAAAAAAACTCTGGTGAGCAGACAAGCAGACTAGCTGGGAGCCCACACCAACCAGTCATCGAGGTAGGGCCAACACCTGAATACCCAGCAGACAGACGGGCCACCACGAACCAGGCAAGACGCGTGAAAATGTGAGGTGCCAGAAGCCGGCCAAATGTAAGGCAATGAAAACAAGAAACACGCCTCCCCACCACAAAACCTAACCAGTCCCTGAACTCTGGGTCATCCGGAAGGAGGGACAAGGGATCCAGCAGTTCAGACGAGACAAATCCAGAATGAATCAAAGATCCGCACAGTTTCGTTTCGGCACTGGAACAAGCGAGAACCCACTTGAGGGACTAGGTCGTTTCGACCATGCCCAGATGCACTCGCTCCAAGATGACCAGACGGGGCGCAGGGAAAGAAGCCTGCCCCAGCAGACCCAAGCCTCCGAGAGGAAGAGGAGCCACCCAGTACCACCATAGGCCAGAAAACACGACCCGAAATGCCCACGAATCATGTGACCAAGCAAGGGCAAACAGAGCCAGCCTCGTGTCTTGCCGGCTGACCATGGCGATGGATCGTGGTTCGCGCCGCGTTTCTTCCATGGACATTTCCGATCCCTTTGAGGGTTTTAAGGACCCGTTGTCCCTTGGCACGCATTCCGGTCACGACGTTCTCTCAGTCTTGGAGGAGGATCCCGAGGGTGTTTTGCTGGACAGTAAACATCATGGTAAGGCTAATAGATTGGAGGTAAAACGTCGCCTGCATCCTGCGGTGCCCTGTGACCTCTCGCAACCTCTGTCTCCACGCCCTCCACTCCCTCCCGGTCAGACGAGTTCTCTTGGCCTACTTACCTTAATCATCACCTTTGATGCTGATCGGAGTGTTTTTGGAAATAGTAGAGCACGCAGTCTTTTCTATCAAGCTGTTGGCGAGTTCTTTAAGATCAAGGTGCACGATTTCAGGCCGAATAAACGCAGGAACCTGATTGCCGTGGACCACGCTTCCTCCAGGGACTTGGTGCTTTCAGACATTACTGATATCTGTGGTTACAAGGTCCATTGTTATATGTCTCTAGGTGACCGTTTGGTACGAGATGAGGTCCGGAATGTTGTTGATGTTAGTGAGGACGACATCAAGGCGCAACTGCAGTATGCTGACCTTCTGATCTTTGGTGTCAAGAAATTTATGCATGGAATTGATGGCGACCTGTGAGATGCCGGCACTGGCCTCCTTACTTTTCTTGACTCCCTCTTCCTCCTGATCGGGTTTGGATTAATGGCTTCCTCCATAAATTGGAGGTGTACGTTCCCCGTCCCATTCAGTGCTTTCATTGTAAGGGTTTTCACCATACCTCCCATGGCTGCATCGTCTGTTGTGGCAAATACTCTGGTTCCCATTACATTCGTGACTGTGAGTCCGACAAGCTCTGTTGCCCCAACTGTGGTGGTGATCATGCCATCACTTTCAAGCAGTGTCCTTACTATGTTGCGGCGCTCACCAAGGCTCTTCCCGTCATCACTCCGCCCTCCAGTCGTGCTTTGCCTCATCGTGCCCCAGTTCCTTGTCACCCACCACTTCCCCCTCCGCCGCCACCCCTTTGCCTGTGTCTGACCTGTTTGTCACTGACATTCCTCTCGCCCCTAAAGCTGCTTCTCTCCCACCCGCCATTCAACTGAGTCCCAGTCTTGTTGACGCTATTGTCGCTTGCTTTGTGGATGCACTCGAGATGGTGCCGGTCCGCC